AAAAAAAATAAAAAACACTGAAATTATGTGCCTTAACAAAATTTTTATTCTAAATGAATAAAATTTATATCATTGTATATATATATGATAAAAATTTTGTCATGACAGTATTTGTTTTAGGATGATGAAATCAAGAACAATTTAAGAAAATAATAAATTTTATCTAGATATTTGACAATCTTGAAAATATTGAAGTGATTGTTCAATGTAACTTCTTGGTTTAATAGTGTCCACAGTTTCGTTGATAAATCTCAACTTAATCCCTTATTTTAAAAGCGTTTGAAATGGGTCATCACTTTTAAAATTTTGAGTCAAATTAGTCCCTTCCGTTAAATATAACCAAACCGCGTTAATGGGGTGATGATCTTGCAGCATTCATGGTAACGCCAAGTATGGTTGTCCCGCCATTCTTATGGTCTTAATTGGGTTTCTTCTACTATCCTCGGCCTCACGGTGGCCTATGTTACTATGTGGTGACTCGAGCTAACTAATCAGATCTTACTACATGGTGAGTCGAGCTAACCGATCGGTTAGGGTATGTAAAAGAACGGCGTAGCCGGTCGGGTACGACAGTCGTTGAGTAGAGTTAAAGTGCAATCAATATGGTAACTACTATTGATGAATGATTAATGTTGGCATTAATGACCATTAAGAGGTAAATTAATAGGTCTGACTTTAATTACTTTAGACCTTCACACGAAACATATCTATCTGACTTGAGCACCATAGTGTCTTCTATAAGTCAACCCCCCTCAAACCGATTGGTCACCCCAAACAGTAAGCAGAGTGAACGTTTGTCCAGGTAGGAGAAGTGAGCAGGATTCATCCTCGTCCCAATCCAGCAGAAACATTTTGGTGCCCTATGGTGGAGGATCTTAGTCCTTTGAGTTATTTTCTAAAGATCATAGTGACCCGACATGTAGGTGGCTTGTTTCTCAGTTAGAGCACCTATGCTTATGACATCATTGCACACATCGACATGGCCTCAGGAAAACCTTTTTCTACTCTAATTGATACCAAGAAAAAATTCACTACATTCTTCAACACACCATTTGAGGATCCCACTATATATTGGAGTATTGTCGGTGCCTTCCTGTATCTCACATTCACTTGCTAGCATCTCATGTTGTTCAATATGTTTGTCTTCACATGCATTCCACCTATACCGAACGCTTGCTAACGTAGAAACACATGTTGCGTTATGTTCTAAGTATCCTACAACATGGTTTTGCACTTATATATGACCTTTATTGAGAAACTTCTTGCTTATATTGATGCTCATTATGGTGGATGTCCTGACACTAGAAGCTCCACATCTAGTTATTGTGTATTTCTTGGTGACAACCTTATCTCCTGGTCTTCCAAGTGTCGACACATTCTTTCTCATTATAGTGTAGAGGTTGAATATCGGGGTGTTACAAATGTTGTTGTTGAATCTTGTTAGCTTTGTAATCTCCTACTATAGCTTCATTTTCCTCTTCCTTAGGCTTTCTCAAGCTATTTTTTATATATATTGTAATCCTTTGCAACATTAGTGTACAAAACATAATGAGATAAATGTTTACTTTGTTTGAAAAAAGGTAGCACGTGGTTAGACACAAGTTTTTTGTGTTCCTTATCGCCACTAGACTCTTGACATTTTCACTAAAAGTCTACTTCAAATTATTTTTTATGACTTTTGAATCAGTCTAAGTGCCCGTGAACCTTAGACTACAAAGGTATGATATAATCTAAATCATTTTTCTTAAATTAAGCCAATTAATAATTAATCTTTATAATTAAGGTAATCAAATTCCTATAATTAGATTATTAAGTCTCTTGTAATTATGTTGTACATAATTACATACATGATTTAAAGAAAATAGCATCAACAATTGGATTTATTATGAGATAACTAGTAAAAAACTTTTTAAATTATGAATACAAGAATTCAAATTCATTACCTAATTTTAGTATTCAAGAAAAATCTTCTTTTTCAATTTTAAAATCTCTTTTTTTTCTTACCAAAATCAATATTCATGAGATTCATTAATATTTTATGGTAACAATAGAATTATTAAAAAGATTAATATCAATTATACTTTTTTTATGGCTTAAAGGCTTACTTGGTCCCCATGTTAAGTGGTAATTTTCAGTTTAGTATCCGGTTTTAAAAGTGCATACATTGGGTCCCAAAGTTGTAAAAATTGTATGAATGAAGTCCTATCTGTTAAGTTGGTAGTAACGACATTAACTCTGCGCTGACGTGTCTGCACTTTTTCTCTCTCCTATGTTGTTCTTGCCATCTTTCTCTCTCTCTTCTCTATTCCTCTCAACTTAATTAAAAGGAGAAAGTGAATATAATATAATAATGTCCAGTGCAGGCAGTAGCAACACTAATAAAGATAAGTCCATCAACGAGGAAAAGCCATCACTAACTGTGAATCCTATTACGGTCGAACATGATACTGAATCTGAAAACCACTTGAATATTTTTGAAATTACTATATATAAATATACCAAGAGAAACATAAACCTATGGAGTCTTATGGGGGAAGAGGTTAGACAGTGATGGAAGATGGGGAAACTAAGGATGTTGGCATAGGTAACCAAACTCACAAAACACTCACACCTTACTCTCTTCTTCCCTTCACTACCATGACTAAATTTCTCATCCTACTGTTATTGTGCGCACGCTTCTTATCGTGCGCCCACTGCGGCTTTGTCACTTAGATCCAAGCCTTGACATCGTTCAAGCTCAACCTTCACGACCCTCTCGACGCGCTTAATGACTAAGACCCATCAACGCCGTTAGCTCCTTGCAACTAGGGTAGGGTTTCTTACAAGAACGACCGAGTCACCGAGTTAGTCTGGCTCGCCTTCAACTCAGTAGCCTACTTGGTGACCGCATTTTAGATCTGCGCATGCTTTGAAGGCTAAGCCTTTGCTCCAACTCCTTCAATGACACAATTCCCCAATCCATCTCCAAATGCACGCTCCTACGTGCCTTGTTCCTATAGTATAACGACCTCTCCGCCCAACTCCCGCCGAAAATTGGAAACCTTGCTACTCTCTAGATTCTCAACGTTGTCGGCAACAACCTCTCTGGTGAAATACCCACCGAACTTCCACTGCATCTCAAGTACGTTGACCTCTCCGCCAACGCCTTCTCCGGCCAGATTCCAACCACCATCACCGGTTTTTCCGAGCTTCAGCTTATCAACCTCTCCTACAATAAGTTCTTGGGCCAGATTCCTGCGCTCATTGGAGAGTTTCAGAATCTGCAATACCTTTGGCTCGATCATAATGTTTTGGTGGAACCTTACCTTCATGTGTCTTCTTTCTTGGTTGTATAACGTGTAATTCAAATATTATTTTTTATTTCAAAAAGGCTCATTGCTAACATAAAATACCCATGATCTGATACTGATAAGATGACGTAAAACGAGGTTATAGTTCTCACTTTCTGCTTTTAATTAATGGTGAGAGAAATAAAAAAGAGAGAAAAAAAGATGGCAAGAAGAGAGGAGAGAGAAAAAAAAGTGCAGTCACGTCAACGTGAAGTTAATGTCGTTGCTACCAACTTAACGAGTAGGGCTTCATTCATACAATTTTTACAACTTTGGGATCCAAGGTCTTCACTTTTAAAACTGTGTATTAAACTGAAAATTACCACTTAACATGGGACCAAGTAAGCATTTAAGCTTTTTTTTACATATGTATCTCCAATACATAAGATAAAACATTCCAATTATATTTCTCTCTTACATAATTACAATTAGAGCTGTCAAAATGGGTAACCCGGCCCGGCCCGACCAGACCCACCACGGGTTGGTCACTTAGTAAGTCAACCCAACCCGGCTCATTTATTAACAAGCCGAAAAAATTCGAACCCGACCCGACCCACCACAAGTTGGTGGGTTAAACGGGTTGGCTCATTGGCTCACTTAATTAACTTTTTTTTCACCCTCTTCTTCTCATATTCTTATAACATGCTACTTTGATCGATCAAATTGAAACAGTAATAATTAGACCAATCAATATAAAAGAAAATGAAACAAAAAAAATATTGTTATATATATTATAAGCTAACAAGCATAAAATTTTGTCAATTCAGTTTAATGAGACATACACAACCGTTTGACTAAGAAACTATAGTCGTTAACAAAAATATATAGCACAAGATAAAACTGTCATGCTTGTAGATAGGTCTAAAAACATGATAAAACAAATGAAATATTCCTGAATTATCCAATCTATAATATTATCCATCTATTAAATTGAAGTCCTGAATGGATAAATTCACAGTATTATGCTCTCTTGAAGCATCTTCTTCTTTATCTCCATCTATAATATTATCCAATCTATAATCTTAGGATTTTATTTGCAGAGAGAAATTTTTGGAAAGACAACCGCGCGAAAGACTCTATTGCTAAGTAAAGGTTGTGCATTTTGAATAATTAATGTAATTAATTTGATTTCAATAAAAAAAAAAGATTTGAATAATTAATTTAATTAATTTGATTTCAATAAAAAAAATAGGATTTAAATAATTCATTTAATTTAATTAAAAAAATAGGTAGGTTGGTGAGCCAACCCAACCCACCATTTGCATTTTTTTTCAACCCAGCCCGGCTCAAACTCGTGATGAGTCAGATTGGTTCACGGGTTTTAACCCATTTTGACAGCACTAACTATAGTTATATTTTTCTCGACTCAAACTCGTGATGAGCCAGATTGGTTCACGGATTTTAACCATTTTGAGGCACTAATTACAGTTATATTTTTCTCTTACATAATTTAAAATTTTGTTGTGATAATATAAAAAATTTTGAAAATTGGAAGATGGAGAATTGAACGTTAAAGAATTGACGAAATAGTGTGAAGACACCACACCGAAACGTTAAATAATCTTTACATAAATCATAACGGTAACAGTGTTATTAATTATTTTTCGTAAAGCGTAACGTTGAGACCACAGATGCACAGTATGCCAGAAATACGTAATAAATTTCTGAAGGTTCTGCTGACATCTTTTACCACAACCAAGTGCAAGCCTTAAATGAAGCAACACTCACTCAGTCTTCATCTACCAACAATTGATGCAGGGAAAGCCAATTTTGAAGTAGATGGGCATCCCTCACTTTCTGCTGATTCCTTATCCAAGTGTAGGACATGTGAATCCCCTTATGCAGTTGTCTGAGATTCTTGCCACACATGGCTGCAAGATCACTTTCCTAAATACAGAATTCAACCACAATCGAATAAATACAGCAGATGCTGGGCTGGAGAATTCAAAGGGACCCCAGATTAAGTTTGTGACGCTCCCAGATGGTTTGGGCCCTGAAGATGACAGAAAGGACCCCAAGAAAGTTATTTTCTCAATCAAAACTCACATGCCTCATATGCTTCCCAAACTCATACAAGATATCAATGCATTGAATGTTAACAATAACATCACTTGCATTGTTGTCACAATGAATATGGGTTGGGCCCTGGAAGTTGGCCATAAATTGGGAATTAAAGGAGCTGTTTTGTGGCCTGCATCTGCCACTTCCTTGGCCACATGTGATTGCATCCCAAAGCTGATTCAAGATGGAATCCTAGATTCAGATGGTAAAGCTTTTCAACCGCAGATATTTCTAAATTTTTCTCTTAACGTCAAATTTCTCTACTTTCTACATTGGCAATATTTAAATTATTTTCTCACTTTAGCAAAGAAAAGAAGTAAATTTAATTGTTTGACAACTTCAAGTTATCTTAAACACACTTGTAAAGAATTGCTCTAGGAAGTAGGGTAATTTGTGAGGTGTGGGTGTTTTTATATGAGATTGTTGATATTGACTCAGTAAACAACTCTGTTTAAGGTTGTCTTATAGTCTATTATGTGTGGAGCCTCTGGTTGTAAGTATCTAATGAACTTTGGTTGTGAAAACTGTTCCATGGGTAACATTTGATGCAAATTAGGAGTTTCTATTGTATGATGGTTTGCCTACTTATAATGTTAGAGTAATTAGAGGGTTGATAAATGAAGCTAGGCATGTGACGTTGGGATGGGCTAAGATAAATGAAGCAATTTTATTATGAGTTAAGATAGACTAAGGATTGAGTTATAATCTCTGATGTTTTGTCTGTAACTCTGTGATGTTTCCTCTGTAACTCCGAGTTTGACAAAAATTTACAGTAAATTGTCCGTGTAGTTTATACTCTAACTGAACTACAGTAAACTTCTAGTGTATTGTGTGTTTTTCTTCTTGATTCCTATTGTTCTTTAGTTTGTTTGGGATGTTTTGAAACGTTATTGATATCTGTTTTAACTAGGTGAACTTGAGTTAAACTGAAGATCAAGATTTATAATAGCAAGATGTAAACTAGATATTCAATAGATTTGTTTCCAAATACGCAATTATTGCTATGAAAAACTCTAGTACTTTCATGTCAAAAAATTTGGGTGTGGTTACTAATTAACACCAAATAGTATGTTTGAAGGAACAGAAGGAAACTCTATCCACAAATTCACACACATACTGAACACATGAATGTGCATTTTATTTATTTGCTACTTCATGTATCCATATCAGATTAAAGCAATGCTCGAGTTTTTAACGTTTAACTAAACTTTGGTGTTAAGTGTTACTTCTAAAAGTTAGGAGAACCAAGCAACAGTAAAGATATCTGAGAAAATTTTATTTGTAACTTAACCTCATTCTTTATGCTTTGAAGGAAAGCCAATCGAAAAGAAAGAAATTCAACTCTACCCAAATATGCCAATGATGGACACAGAAAACTTTCCATGGTGTGGCCTAGATAAGACTGTCATTCATCATATTGCACAAGAGATGCAGACAATTAAGTTAGGAGAATGGTGGCTTTGCAACACAGCACACAATCTTGAGCCTGCTGCATTTTCCATATCACCACGGTTCCTACCTATAGGTCCATTGATGGCAACTGACAGCAACAAAAGTGCACTCTGGCAAGAAGACACAACTTGCTTAGACTGGCTAGATCATCAGCCACCTCAATCTGTTATATATGTAGCCTTTGGTAGTTCGGGAGTAATTGATCACAACCAATTAAAGGAATTGGCTCTTGGACTTGATTTACTTAACAAGCCTTTTCTTTGGGTTGTGAATTCTAGTGACAATAAAAGGGTAAACAATTCATACTCTGATGAATTCCACGGAAGTAAAGGCAGAATTGTGAAGTGGGCACCACAGAAGAAGATTTTGAACCACCCTGCCATAGCTTGCTTCGTTAGTCACTGTGGTTGGAATTCTAGCATGGAAGGTATATGTAGTGGCGTCCCTTTCTTGTGTTGGCCATTAGTAAAGGATCAGTTTGTGAACAAGTCATATATTTGTGATGTGTGGAAGGTTGGACTGAGATTAGACAAGGATGAAAATGGATTAGTATCAAAGGAAGAGATAACGAAGAAGGTGGAGCAACTGTTTGGTGATGAAGGCATAAAAGCAAGGTCGTTGAAACTGAAGGAATTGACCCTGAATAACGTAGTAGAAGATGGTCACTCTTCAGAGAATCTGAAAAGCTTCATCAGCTGGGCAGAGTAATATTGCTTTTTAGCTTGGAAATGGTTGATATATATATAGTTAATAATAATAATGTTCATTCTGTTAGAATAAAAAACTACGCTGTCTTTAAGCATCTTTAACATATTGAATTTAATTCCCATTTCCATAATAATAAAAGGATTGGTGTTAAATGTACTGCAAAACCTTTATAAATTGTTAAATGTAAATTGATAATAATATTCTGATTACTGAATATGGTTTGGAATGATTTTAGAATAAATATTACTCCTAATGATAGTGGGTGCATAGAAGAAGACCAGTGAGGGATCAAATAGTTTCAGAGAACAGTGTTCTTTGTTGTTTCTCAATTTTTTGGAAATATGATCCATGAGTTGTTAAAATGAGTTCATATTTGAAATCTTTTGGTTTATTGGAATACTATATCAAGATAAGTTAGTTTCATTTCTGAGAAAATCATACTGTAATTCAAATCTTGGTAAAAGTTGTTCATGTCTGCATTAATATATGGTGTGGAAGGTATGCTGATACTAAAATGAATCTTGAAACAAAGTTTGAAAAGTTGAAAAAGGAGAAAATGTGAAATAAGTCAATTGTAAACTTAGGGAAAAAGATGTTGATTAGTATATTTGAAAATTTTGACTGCAATCTCAAGAAATTACTCAATTGTAAACTTAGTGAAAAAGATTTATGTGAGAATGATCAAAGTATCTAAAAAGGAGCTTTTCAATAACTTGTACCCTAAAAGATGTTTTTAAGAGTAAATGTGTAAAAATGTTCTAAGTTATATATATCACTAGTAACAACAAATCTGAAGTTTGAATATCATAATAATGCAAGGACATTTTTTAATGAAAAGGACCTGTTTGTTATTTGTCAGCAACATAATTAGAAATAAAAATAAGTAAAATAGGCGGGAATCTAGAGGAGAAAAGTAAGTTTGATCGGAGTTCAACTAAATCAAGGGAGAATTTATGTGCAAAAAAGAATAATTCATTTTCCAACACATTAATGAGAAAGTATAAAATTTAATATAATAATTATAAGTAGGAATAGAGAAAAAGAGATTTAATAAAATCAATTTCAACTATGAAAGTTCACATTAGCTCGAATGGTTTCATGAATGATATGAAAGACTATACGTTAAAAGTGTGACGTTGTCTTAAGTTTAGTTAATGTTTCTACTAGGATGGTGAAGAAGATAATAAATTTTATCTAGATATTTGACAATCTTGAAAATATTGAAGTGATACTTCAAGATGAAGATAAAGTTTTATTTTTTCTTAATGTCTTATGTAAGATGTTTAAACATTTTAAAAATGTTTTTTAATTTGAAAAAGAATAAATTATTATTTTATATCGGTGTATAATTATTTAAAAATTTTATAATTTATATCGTTAGCTAATTTATCTATAAATTTTTTTTATAACTATAAATAAATCAGTCTTACCTATATATTTAGTGCATTATTTACAAAATTTTGCAATTGGTAATACCATTTTCTTTTAGTGCCCACACAAGTTGACTATTTAAAAATATATCATTTAGATTAAAACATATATATAGTATGTAGACAGTGATATAAAAACGACGTAGTTGTTCACCTCTTAATTATGATAAGGTTGTTTGATGTTCATACATAATTTTTGTTTGTAATAAATGTTTTAAATTTATTCATAATGTATTATAGGCTATATAGCTTGGTTTAAATATAAAAAAATGATGTCACTTGTTTTATAAAAGATATTCACTTTATGTAGGAACCTCGTAGAAGGCTAAACCATGGAGGTCAACATCTTGTTAGCCTAACCTTTCTTAACTTTTTAGTTTCAAACATTACTTAAATAAAAGTATGGTAATTAGTATTGTAATTCAACGAGCAATGAAGTAATAATTTCAACAACAATAATAATAAGAATTAATTTTTGATATTGTATATTTTCTGTGTAGAGTGAATGAGGTACATCAAATTTTCAAGGTTTGATCTTATAATAGTTTATTGTTATTTATTTTATTTACTTTTACTTACTTTTACTCATTATTAACGTTGAAACATTAAGTTTGATTAATATTAGAGGTAATTAAAACAATTAGCAAACAGAAAATGAGAGTAAAAATATGCATTCTGAAATGTTAATATTTTCAATTTAAAAATTATTGTTTGAAAATTTGAAGAGCATGGTTAACGATTTAAAATGTATAACTAATATAAGAATAGGGTGAAATATATTTTTAGTCCCTAAACTATCAAGCGAATTTGTTTTTGGTCTCTCTTTCAAAGTAAAATATATTTTAGTCCTCCTCCTTAAGAAACCTTAATTTTTTGTCCTTCAAAACTAACACCGTTAAAAACCAGCTGAGTTGGTTGACGGTGTAGTGCCACATAATTTTTTTTTCCAACATCACTCCTGCCAGATTTTCTCCCCTTCCACCAACCCAACCCCATTCCCCCACCATGGACCTCAACCCGCAAACGGCGCAACGCCCCCCCACCTGCCTCGCTTGAGATGTTCCCACCGCCCCGACCCTCCCCTTCCTTTTGGATCCCCTCCTCACGGTTTTATCCGTCTGCTTCCTTGTCTCCTCCTCCAAGCCCAACATCGCTTCCACCCGCTGTCCCTTCCCGCGCCGCTTCCTCAAATTCCCCGCCATGTCCCTCACTGCAACACCTTCCAAAAATACCACCACAGCCACTGCCCTCAACATCCTACCTCCGTGCCGCCACAACTTTCTAGCTGCACTTTGTGATGCAATTAATTACCAGTTAAAAAGGCTTGGCTGTTTCTATAAGCATTTTGTATCAAATATTATAAATATATGAATTTGTTTTACTGTACTGTATTTGAAGGACCTATAATGTGCAAACTGATGCATGTGAGTTTCGTTGATGGTGGTTAGTGTGAGATTCGGTTCCTCTATAATAAAATTATTATGCAGTATTTAGACCAACAAACATCATTGGTTCATAAAAGTAAATAATTATACATTTTACTGCAACAAATTTGACATTTTGCAGCATTTGGTGTAGTAAAGTAAATTTCGAAATGGAGGATTACCTATCATAATCTAATCGCTCTTGACATGAGCATACACTAATAGTTAATTGTTATAGTATAATAGTTTTACCTTTAATTTAGTTTTGTTGTGGTGGCACAGGGGTAGAGTGTTGAGGGCAGTGGCTGTGGTGGGATTTTTGGAAGGTGTTGTTGTGAGGGACATGGCGGGGAATTTGAGGAAGCGACGCAGGAAGGGGCAGCGGGTGGAAGCGATGTTGGGCTTGGAGGAGGAGACGAGGAAGAAGACGGATAGAACGTGAGGAGGAGATCCAGAAGGGAGGGGAGGATCGTCTCTGGCTGAGGGGCGGTGGGAACATCTCAAGCGCGGCAGAGGGTGGGGGGCGTTGCGCCGTTTGGGGGTTGAGGTCCATGGTGGGGGAATGGGGTTGGGTTGGTGGAAGGGGAGAAAATCTGGCAGGAGTGATGTCAGAAAAAAAAATTATGTGGCATTACACCGTCAGCCAGCTTAACTAGTTTTTAACAGTGTTAGTTTTGAAGGACCAAAAATTAAGGTTTTCTTAAAGAAATGACTAAAATGTACTTGAAAGAAGAACTAAAAACAAATTTGATTGATAGTTTAGGGACTAAAAACATATTTAACCCATGGAATATTGTAGATTTGTAGCAGTTGAAAATTTATTTTATTTCGTTTTATTGAAATATTTTACCATATATTAAAAAAATATAAAACAACTTGAGATGATAAGTGGTCGAATAACAACCCATACACACATTTGTGTATATAAATATGTAGTCCTAATTCTAATTAAGAATTAATAAATAACACAAAAAATATAAATTAATATTATTTATCAAGGGAGAATGAAATAATAAATCATATAAAATTCCTACACACATATATATTCTAAATTTTCGCCGTGGTCTCAAACTTCTTAGACAACTCTCGATTATCACATTTTAAATTCTAATTTATTTTATATTATTAAGATCAACATTTTTAAATATAATTTTTGAATCGATTTAAATTAAGTAATCAATTAACAAACACCATGACAAAAAAATATGATAATTTAGTGTGGACACATTCGTTTCTTTTTTCTTGCAAATACGGTGAAAGACTAATACTACGGTAAAATATCATTTAAAAGAAAAATAAGTATTAATCAACACAGTGACAAAAAAGATGATGATTATGAACATATTAAAAAAATTTTGAAATACGGTGAAAGACTCTTCTTGATAGGGTAAATAATCATTTAAAAGAAAGTTTGTGGGTATACAGTACACGGCCAAACTAATCTTCTAAAATATCTTTAAAGGATCGACACTGTTAATGACTTAATTATGCCTAAAAATATTTTACTAGGATTAAGAGATACACCTTAATGATAAGATATTAACACAGTATTAAATAAGATATGAGTCTAATCATATAAAAAATTAACATTACATTTTATTTAAAATTTTAAAATAATATATTAATAAGTCTTTCATATTTATATAATATTCTATTTTTTTATTAATATAAAATTTACTGGGATACTAATTTTCAAGAACAGTGGTGCAATATGGCTCCTACAATAAGTGAAGAAGCTAACATCAAGCTAAGAGTTGTTTAAGAATAGATTACATATCAAAGCACGACATGTTGTTGTATAATATAATAAAATAATGAAGAGTGGGACATGAGAGTATGTAAGTCAGACGTAGGAAAATCTGTAACCTAGTGTCGTGCACGAAAGCATGACAGACAGGAGAGGAAGAATCAAAACCCTGCTTGGCCTTCCTTTTTCGTTATAAAATACATAAAGATTAAAACTTAACAATGAAGCAAAACATAAAATATTTTTAAATCCATATATATCCACTGCACAATGCCTTTCGGTGCAATCTGCTACATTAAGTACTGTTGCGGTGCCTATAATCTCTGCAACACTGCTCTATCATATAAGTAACCATGATAACTACTGTGTTTTTCCTGCAAATGGATCTGTCACATTTCTTACCCTAATTTCTTATACAAGATTATGCAAAACTTAGACAATATCTCTTCTTTATCTCTATCGATCTTTTCTCGGAGGTGGCTTCAACCCTTATCTCCATTTTTTTAGTAAATATTAATTGTTAGAATATAAAAGACTCATTAGATAAACGAATATAATTTTATATATATATATATATATATATATATATATATATATATATATATATAATATTTTCATTAACATAAATGTTTTGTAGTAGTATTAAAATTAAATATGTAAAGACTTGATTTAAATCAGATAATATTATTATTATGAATACTTATGTATATATTTGAGTTCTTGTTAACAAGACTTATAGTCAACTTTTTTAATTGAAATATATTATAATATATAGAATTTTTAATATTTTTTAGTTATGGACTCTCATACTAATCAAAAGTTATAAATTTTGTATGGTAATTTTCAAAAAAGTATTTAATCATTTGATTAAACTAATGATATATATAAACAAACTAAATTTTGAAATGCAATGAACTTTGGAATGTTAACATCGATCAAATATCAAACTTCACATTAATAATTAACATAAATTTATTTAAAAAAAATGTTCAGTTTAAGAATTTTGAACAATAAATTTTGTTGGAAGTCCCACGCACTAGATGTCTATACCTCGGCGTGAAGGAGTGTGTTGGAAGTCCCACATCAACTAGAGATAAGGCCAATTTATAATATATATAATCGGAA